ACACAGGTTACAGGTATCTTATCCCAACCAATTGCGAGAGACAGTTAACCATAACACAGGGAGGATTTTCAAATTTTCTGTTGATACTGAAATTTGAACTCTGGACCTGCCACTTGGGAGTTGACAACCTGACCACTTCACTAGGTCGCCACATCCCTTCCATTTATTCAGTTTATTTATTTATTTCTTTAGAATATTTTATAAATATTTATCAAATAACAATATTATTAAAAATTTATATTATTTTTTTATTTAGAATTTCTAAATAAACTTCTGTTATCTAGTTTCTTAATCTTCTATATTTAATAATTTTATTATAAGTTTATACTAAAATCTTATGCAATATCAGTTTTTCATATTCTTTTATATATATGTAATATTACATTTTACATAGATACTCTAAGTTTCTAATTTTAAATAAAACTTAATTTGATAGACCTAAGATTACAAATGTCTAAATTTAATTAATTAACAAGAAACAATTATTATAATTTTTAAATTTTGATATCTGTGAGATTTGAATCTTAAACCTACTAATTAGAAGTTGATGACTTGTTCACTTTACTAGGTTGCCACATCTGTTTTACTAATATTACCTACAATATTAATTAAAACTTATAATTTTTTTGATATATCTTATAATAAAATTTCTAAAAATAATATTTATATTTTCATTAAATCAAACTGATCTTTGTTTGAACATGTATTCAAACAAGCCTATACAGAAAAATTAACTCATAATCGAAATTATGTTTATACAGTTATGAAATATAGTAAATTATTGAATATAAAAAAAGAAGTACAAACAGTAGAACAAAAAAAACATTAATAAAAAACATGAGCTTCAAAAAATAGAAAACCATACCTAATGTACTTATTTCTGATGCAAATAATCAAAAAAATGAACTAATTCTACTAGAAATGGATAATAATTAACATCTATTATTAATTGTAAACCTTTGTAAAATCTTAATTAACTTTGTTAAAACACAATAAAATGATTTAATCTGTATCTTATCTTGGTCTATATCTTATAAATAGTCTAGTTAAAGGAATCAATTTGCAATTTTTAAAATTTATTAACGACACAAGAACGAGAAAAGAAATTGATGCTTTCATCAACGTTATTAAAAATTTGGTAAAAATATCAACGTAATTGTAATTATTTATACGTATGATAAAGCCGAAGATCTTAATTGGTCCGGTCCAAATGATGATCAGACCACCTGCAGCTGCGGCAGTGGCGTTTATCACGCGACCTGCAATTTCGATGGCCGCCCTGGTCGTGTCGAAGGTTTATGTGGTCCTACATATAATTTCATTGGTTAGCTCTGTATACCGGAGTGAAAATAATCTATATAACGAACCCATTCTATACCAAACAAAACAATCCAGAATATGCAGTTCGGTATATCCAGATAAAATAGAAATAACTATAGTCAGTCCTCATAAATGCGCCCTCTATGAATGCACGCGAAGTATACCCCAATTTTTGGTTTAAACAAACCAGAATTTGAATAAAAATCTATTATATATGATTTATTTATTTTTATATTCATATACCAGGATCAAATTTTTACGAAGCTAATTGCTTAAAATTAACTTGAGAAAAATAAACAATTTTGTAAAATGCAATTAGAAATGTTGTAGGATAAAATAGGATAAAAGTACATAAGTGAAGCTACGGGATTATTAATGACAAAAAAACAATTATTTTATGAAAAATGTTATTGTATCATAGTAATTACACTATAAAGCATGAAGTATATTTATAAGTTACATAAATTGTTTGTTTAAAATAATTTACAAGAAATTACATAAATTTTAAATTACGCGAATTCAAATCCTCAAAAATAAGCTTGTAGACACCGAAGGAACATTTTGTATTTCAATCGTGATTAAGTTTGGTATCTGGTGCGGGCAGGAACGTATTTGTTGTAGCGTTATAAAGAAAGTGTATGCATAGGGATGAGAAGTCACATTAGAGATTTTGTTCATCTGTTTCCTCTGACGGTACAGTTAAGGCATTTACTACGAAAAACCTAAAAAGATCGCCTAAATGGATAAAAATAAGTAAGTTCAAAATTGCAAAAATGTAGATAAGCGATTGGATAAAATTCGTTTAATATTGTCTATTTCAATAATCTTGCCTAAATATTACACTATTTACACGTATAGCACACATATATAATAAGCTCACTGCTATGAAGCAATATAAAACCGGACTAAATTTGTTTTATTCTACCGAAATCTTTATTATAGTGGATGTGTAATTCGTACCCAGTTTCAATACCGGAATTGATGAACGATTAGAGATCGCACCGGAGTTTGTGGACATATTAGTATTTATGGATAACGATGAAGCCAAAGTTTCAACTATTTGCGAACTGTTTGTTTGTGTGGGAAGAGCTCGTAGAATGACAAGTGATTTTAGTAATTTGAGTTCTTGCTGCAGACTAGTAAGCAATTGTTCTTGAGAATCTTCAGATTCCTCAAGCAGCTAAGTTATTATAAATAATAAAAATTTAGATATAATTAGAAGACATAGTCATAGACAAAATAACTTACCTTTGGAATTAAATCTCGTATTGAATCCATATCTTCTTTTAAATTTCCCAATTCTATATCTTTTCTTTCTTCATAATATTTCAAATCTCTTAACACGTTATCCAGTATCTCTAATATTTTGTTAACTTCAAATGATTGTTCTTTTAAGCTTTTTTTGATAATTTGCGTATCAAACTTTAAGACATCTAAACTTGCTGTGGTGGTGGTAAATTGATCTGAAAATAACTGTTTTTCGTGTTCAAGGTCATCGGACGTTAATGCTCCCAGAAAAGAGACAATGTAATTCTGTAAAAGCAAAGCCAAATATATATATATATAATTTTATACAAAAAATTTTTAAGGGAGCGATTACAATTGTAGCACACCTTTGCAATAGATGCTATAACATATCCAATACCACCAACTAATGCAGCTGCAATGACATAATCTTTCCAGTCAATTCTTGGAATTGAAGATTGAGTGTAAGTTATTTGTTCAGAAACTGAAGTTTTATTAGGTTGTGACAGAAACACTTCTTGTACATCACTAGTTATATCTTCATCATTGGCTATTATTAACGCTTCTTCAATCTCATCTGATGTCAAACCCTTATATTCTAAAAATGCTATTCGTTTTTGAAGAGGTTTACTTTTAACTTGTGAATCTTTAAGAAATTTTACAGCCGATTGAAGTAGTTCTTGTCGAATAGTAGACATGTTTCCTTTTACATGAATGCTGTAAAAAAAAACCTGATATACAGATGATTTTTCATGTGGTAATGATCGACTGACTACATGTATACCTAACTATAAATGAATCTAAAATTCTAAAATTGAGAAATTTCGTCATTAATGTAACCATCAAAAATATTATTGAGGCTAACGCTAATAATCATACGTATTAAAAACTTCACTAGTATACACTATAGACTTTATAACATCACCTTATTTTCATAGGAACAATGGTAAAGTTGATAAAATTATAGTATAACAGTCCCTAACTGATTTAATTTTTACTTCAAAATTTATTGAAGTCATAAACATAATATATGATGTGTTTTATAGTCGCCCGCGATATATCAATACATCGATATCGATACATTGCGTTAAACTTCTACGTATTTCAATTTGAATAGATGTACGTATTACTAATAGAAACATTAATATTCGTATTACATATTACAGTGAAATTATCACATGATTTTTGTTCCTCAAGATTCTGTTGGCTACACATGATACGAAGTGTAATGGTTATTCTCCGTTTTCCGGGGCTACGTAACCTTATTACGTAAAATAGTGATGCACCGACTTCGTATTTATACTTTCTTTGTTGCCTCTTTCTGCATTCCTTCTTTCATTTTTGCCACATAGCTTGTTCTTATTCAAACTGTGGCAAGGAGTGCTGAAAATAAATCAGTTTTTGTTTTAAAATCAGCATTTCAAAAATAATCGTTAAATTATGGAAGTATTTCGTGCGGAAACAGGAAAACGTCTTAGAGTCTCTAAGAGGTTTGAGAGGTAATAAAGGTTTATTGCTTTTTTTTCTATTCAAGAGTCAACATTAAGTGTAGTATTGATCAAGTATTAAGTAAGTCTTGTGCATTAAACGGAATTGAAAGGATATTAATCCAAAATTAATGCGCATGTCTACTCAATACTTAATAATTTGTCACAAAATTTTTGATTTTTCCTTTTTGATCCTTTTACAGCTTGGGTGCTTTTAAAGCAGAAATCGAACAACTGTCCGGTGTCTCAATATCTTCACAGATCTTAATAACAAGTGCTGGAATTCAACTTAGAGATGATATAGACATCAAAGTAACATTCTTTTATGTCGTTCTCGCGTTTTTTCCACTTAGTGGTGCCGAATGTCTAACTTGAGATTTTAATGATTCGTTAATAATTACAAAGAATGAACGAATCTTCCTTTTCAACAGAGAGCTGTTAGATTCTAAACTTGCTATCAATATAGAATCTCTTAATGAAAAATTGAATTTAGAACCTTCTATAATTGGTAAAATAATACTAGGTTTCTTTGGTTTATTTTATCTTTTTTTTGAAATTGTCTATTCAATCAAAATTGTAATTAATTTGCAGCATCGATCACCACACTTGCAACTGAAAAAGCTCAATATTCTTCCACATTAAATAATTTGAATATTTCTGATGAATGCGGCACTTATGCTAATTTGTTCCAAAAGAATCATTCTCAAGGACAGGTGACTATCATCTGCTAAGTTATATACTATAGAATGCAAATCTATAATTCAAATAAAAATTATCGTTATTAGAAATTAGATGTTCATATCCAAATCCTTTTTATCTTCGAAGTCATTCATTAAAGCAGCCGCCATTCATACTGAAATTTGTGAACGTCTACATCAAGAACAAAGAGTACAACTAATGGCTTTGGATGTTGCCCTGTCGAATCTTGATTCTCATTGCCGGTGTGTAATGTTTCTAGCTTATCTTAGCTATAAATACCTATTTTCCGAATTCTTATGTTCTTATAATCTTATATAATAAATTTAGCTCGATTGTCGAAGTTCACGAGGTATTTAACGCATTTTCCGAAAAGGAGATTAACAAGCAAGATATGTTGATTAAAAGGTACTTTCATCGCTATACATTTGAAGTATACTTTCATGTAATTATTTTAATAAATGAGATATTTTGATTTTAGTTTGCCAATAGATATAGAAATTATTCGTAATATTTCCGTTCATCCAGAACTGTTAAAATCCGCTGGCATTGGCGTGGATGGTCAGAGATCATATTCATTGGCTGATTTTATATCTCTTGATGAGTTTACAACTCTAGCTGAAAAAGGACGAGACACATATGGTTTGTTGAAGATTTTTGTCTAATAATTTCAACAATTTTTGAAATATTTTACTAAATTTTTTTAATTATTCTCGTGTCAGGTCAATTTTCTCGGAATGTGAAAGAATTGGAAGATACGGTTCAACGCGTAAAATCAGGTACAGAAATGTTAAGAAAAAGGAAATATAACAACAAGTAAGTTATTTTGGTTATTAATTGTTTATATATGTCAAGATGAAACGTGTTCAAATTATATTGGTCCAAAATTGGTATAGTTTTTCTACAATGGAGAGCACTTTGGTCCAAATTCGAGAAGGATATGCAAGACTAAGAAAACATGCCGAGACAATAGAGCGAGGTATTGTCATAATTATCGTGGTTAGGGTAGAGATGAACCGGTTTGATCGGCTTAACCTATGAAAATAAAACCGGTTCCAAACTCTAAATCAAGTTTCATAAATTATTGTTAATATGTATATGTATATATTGTATGTACGTTAGATCTCTCACGCGTTCAAAGTAAAATTTCCGAAATTCTAAAATCAAATGCTAGATCCTTATCCTCACAATCAATAAGCACTTTCGAAGCTCTTGCTGAATATCATGCGAAGGAATATTTGCCTGGTAAAAAATAGTACATTTGAATATTTGCATCTGTAATGCGTGCTAGTTATTATTAATTCATTTCAATGTGATACGTAATACCCATAGATATGCAACGATTAGATGAATGGTTACGTGAACAAGTAGTATTTTTTGTAAAATGCAAGGTGTGTTATCATATACCTTATATTATTGGTTAACTATATATTTTATGTAAACTAAGTGATTACTCTAATTTAAAAAATTGTCAGAATGCTATGACGTCAACGATGATTTCTAGTCTTCAACAAATATCTTACTTTGAATCAACTATTGCTGGTATCCCGGGCACTTTGAGTTCTCTTGAGTCTGAGATTAAATTAAAGTCTCAAGAATTTAAAAAGTTATCTAATATACGTCAAATACCTCTTGCCTATGTATATATTCTATCATATGAAGTGTTAGATATTTCTACGCTGTTCAATTTTTTAATTGTTTATATTACGCTATTAGGCCATGACCCTAATCGAAATTTTGAGACGAAGCGAATATACTAAAGTATTTATTTATTGCTTGATTTTGCGAAACGTGTTTACTTTGCACAAATATCATAATGTCTTTGTTTCGATAATGTTCCAGTTATTTCTCTCTAAAGCCCAACAATTGGCAGAGGCTATGGCCAATTTCCGAAATTTAGAGCAAAAAAGACGTGATAATTATCGCTTGGATGTTAAAAGTTATGTTCCCTTGAACATTTCAGCTTTGGATGATAGTCCTCCAATGTGTGAGGTTTCTACTTTGAATCTCAGAGATGATCGGCTACCATCCTTTTCAAAAGCCGATGTTAAAGCCTTTTTTGACCTGATTGAAAAGATTCGACCTGTGATTTTGTCTCAAGCATCACTATTTAAATCACAAATTGCTGCTTCTTCTTTATTTAAAACTCAAGATCAGCAAACAATCCAGCAAACTGTTATAGATATTTTATCGTCTTTGCAATCAAAATCGGCCAGATCATATGGCCAAATTGAAAGGATGGATATAGAATTCGATAAAATCGTAGAAAAGAGTTGTAAGTTGTTTAAATCAAATTTTAAACATATAAAATTTATTTTTTAAAAAAATCAATTCTTTTATATATGTACATGTTTTTTAATCACGTCTAAATTAGTCCATTTGGAACGACTTGATATTGATAAAAATAATCAAACGTTGTCCCGTCCAGTTTCGATTTTCGAAGGCATGTGTAACATCAGATAATGAATGGTACATTTTTTCCTTTCACTTTCAATTGATATATGTTTTTGATATATGTTTTTAGGTCGGTCACTTGCACCACCGTCACCGCAAATGGGTCGGCGGGCATCTCGTACATCACGACAAAGCTTTTCTGAAGATAGTGGCTCGACAGTTGACAGTACTACTGATCGTTTACTACTTGAAACGCTTAAAGAATTGGATCGATCAAAAGAAACGATCAAGGTTCTTCATTTAGATATTTAAAATTTTTCTTTTTTTTACATATGATTCGACAATTTTACATTAACTAATTTTTTTTCGAATAGAAATATGAAGCTAGAATTAAAAAACTCGAAGATTTGTTACACACTAATTATCAATCGTCTAAAAGTTCTACGATGCTTACCGACACACATAAATCAGATTCAAAGTTTTCCATTTCAGCTATTGAGCAAGAGTTATCTGACTTACGCTCACGTTATAATGAACTCGAATCTATATACAATTCTGAACTAAATAATAAGGCTGAATTAGAAATGTTTCATTTACAATTGAAAAAGTCACATAATGAAAAAAGTAATCAATTGGAAGAACTTCAGAATCACGTTAATGAATTAAACAAAGCATTGCTTGATGAAAGATCTGAAAAAAAGACACTTTGTGACAAATATGATAGTAAGTTTCAGGAATTGGAAGCACTTTTGCATGAATCTAACAGGAAAAATGCAGACTTAAAGAAGGAACTGGAAGCATTGAAAGCCGATAATGAACTTGTCAAAAAAGAAAAAGACGCAGTAGAAGCAGACTTAGAGAAAAAATTAGAAGTATTGAAAGCCGATAATGAACTTGTCAAAAAAGAAAAAGATGCAGTAGAAGCAGAAACCATAACGTTGGATTCTAAAGTTAATAATATTTTAGCTGAAAATAATAAATTAAAAAGTCAGTTAGAAGACGGTCAAAAGCAGGTTTGTGCATGGTCTTATTCCTTTATAATCATCGCTATCACTATATATTAATAACACACAAATTTTGATTTTTAGAATGAAGAAAGAGAGAGATTGCACAAACAAGAACTTGATCAACTTCAGAAACAATCTGATGAAAGATCAGAAAATGATAAACAAAATGTTTGTTTTCAAATTCTCACATATTAAAATTTTTCATGTGCAAAGTTGTTCGATAACTTTATAATATGTTAATTCATAGATGCTCCAAGAAATTGAAGGCTTGAAACAAGAAATTGAAGATTGGAAACTAAATTTAGAAAAGATGAATTCTGCTCGAGAAGATTTGGAGCAAGATCTCGCCAGGGTATTGTATCTTTATGGACATGGTTCTGTTTTTTATATATATAATCTATAGTATTTTTCTTTTTAATTATCTAGTCACGAGAAAAGGTTAAGTCTGTAGAACAAGATTATAACGAACGCACTAAGGCTCTCGCCGCGGTATGTTAATACAACAACCTCATCATATTCATCTGCAAGCTAATATTGTCATATTTATCTTTTTTTTTCTTTAATAGGCGGAAAAATTAATTAAAGACATCTCCGAAACAATTAATGAATATATGTATATTGTTACATCTAATGAAGTTTCATCTAATTCGGAACAGGTGTGTTATCCACGTAATATAATTGAGAATCGAACTACTGCTTTATCATTGCAAACGTCTTTTTTGCTGAATATTCTATTTATTGTTTGAAAAGATGGAATCAGGGGATAATCTCGATCCTATAATCATGATACGAAAGGTGGGAGACGTTGCAAAATATCTAGATCAAAAATTGCGTGAAACAAGTCAGGTAAATTGTAAATCTGTATGCAAATTATATATTCTACATTTATATGTAGATTATTTATTTGTTTAAAAATTCTAAAATAATATTATGCATTAACAGTCAGTAGATACATCATCAACTTTGAACACAAACTTGGAACATTCACTTAGTGAATTGCGTCGAGTGTTGGAAGAACGAACAGAATTTTCTAAAGGATTGAGTAAATCTTTATGGGAATATTACAATAACCTTCGAGAATTAACGAAAACTATGAAATTAAGTATACCAACGCTGGCTGATAATTATGCAATGAGTGCAATATCCATGCCACAAGATGTTGACGACAAGAAAACAGGATTGTCTGACAGTTGTTATACGGAAGACTTGAGCGAGTTTTTCCTTAACAATAGTTCTGATGAACAAAGTGTTTGGCCAAAAGATAAATACGAAACTTTACTTTCATTGACGATGAAAGTAAAATTAGACGAAGTACAAAAACTAATAGTGCGAACGCTTAAAGAAGCTGAAATTTTGGCCAAACAATCTCGCAGAGACAGTAAATTATATAGGGGTAAATACAATTATAATTTTAGGGCTCACAAGATTGAAAATCGAATTGATAATTTAATAATTTATTTCATTAGAAAAATACCAGAAAGTTAGCCAAGAATCAAGAGATAAGATTGCATTTCAAAAGTAAGCAAAACAATACATACCTACTATGATATGCCAATTAATGATATATATTAAACTATCCTAATTTGTAGTTTCAAAACCGAGGATGTTGCACTTTTCTTACCTACTAGGTCATCACCTTTAAAAACATATGCAGCCTTTAATTATAATTGTCCATATTACTTTTTACGCGTTACGGACGCAAGCAAAAACAAAGATTATATTATTGGCAGAATTATAAAAATTTCAGATCATATCGCGGTTTGTTGTCCATTGATTTTTAACTTGATTATCTACTGTAATAATACTGAAATTAATAAACTTATATTATTTTTTATAGCTACCAGAATATAATCCTTATGAACTGCCAGTTGGCGTCAAATATTATATTATAGATGCCGATGAAAATTGGCAGAGCGCATTTAATAGCTCACATAGTAGACGTTATACCATAAATACGTCAGATACTGCAACTCGCATTCATAAAAATCGTCAGAGCCTCCCTTCGCGTTCGCTATCATCATCGGGCATTATTTCTAACGACGTTAGGTCTCAATCCGTTATTGATATAAAGCAAATATCGTCATCTCCGAGTGGTAATAAATAGTTTTTTTTTTTTCTTTTAAAAAATAATTAAATAAGATACCATTACAACATATGTACTTTCATATATTTATGTAAATTTTGTACCAGCTATGTATATCAATATATAGTTGTAACAATATATTAGATTATTAAAGGATTTATTAAATTATCATAATTACTAGATAATTGTATGATCTAAATATATATATATAAGCATTTTTTTCTTATGATTCTCTAAGTGCATATTGTTTGATCCCAAGAACTTATGGAATCGACCAGGGCGGCCTTCAATTTTGTGGGTTATGTGAGTATTGCCACTGACTAGTGATCCAAATCGTTAGTTGAAAAACCAACTTTCCAACTAGTCGATTTGGAAAATTTAGATTAAATAAACTAGTTGAATTACGAGACATTCCGTCTATTCGGACTTGTTCGTGTTGATTTCTTTAGTTTGATTGGCCAATCAACAAATTTAGTCACATGATAGGAAAAATCGATTATAGTTGGCAACTAATCGATTGGAAAAATTTTTACCGCATTACCACTGACACAATTATCTTGTATCAGCAAATTCAGTGTTACCGTAAATCGAAAGTGCAGAGTAAGGTTGTTAATGGATTGGGTTAAACAATTTCTCAACCCATTCAGGCTTACTTAAAGCTGTTCCAGTTCATTTCAGTTCAACTACAGAGGGAATTATAAAAAGAGTGTACAATTAGTCACTTATACAACTTTAGTTATTAATTAACTTAGTTAGTTTGCTCAAAGGTTCTAAATACTCTAGTTTTTATATTCATCTACTTACCTATCCTACCAACTGCTTTAATTGTTATTGGTATAAATATATTATAGTCATGAAGTTTTTAAAATAATTAATTTATATAAGTATTAAACTTGTTAGAGTCTTTTGTATTTTATATTTATAGTTGACATAATACTATTAAATTAACATTTGCAATCAAGATTAATCATTAAATTGTTATACTTTTATAAACTTTATTCAAACCTTATTACCTATTTTTTTAACATTTTTTATTAATCACTATTTAGAATTTATAGGATTTTTTAATTATTAATTTAGATAATTTGGTATAATATATTTATATATTTTTTTCTAATGTTTTGGTAACCTAATTAGTTATATATTTCTTTTATATATTTGTTGTTTAGTTTATTTATTTATTTTTTTAAAAATAGTTTGTAAACTTTTATTAGTTTAATAGCATCATTAAAAGTTTGTATTATCTTTTTATTAAGAACTTTCAAGTGAGTTTCTGTTTTTTAGTTTCTTAGTCTTTTGTGTTTAGTAGTTTTATTATAGGTTTTACTAAAGTTTTATTTTATTTTTTTTTGGTATTAAGATAAGGTCTTGCTTATATTTTTATTAATAATTTAAAATAATTACATATATATACTATAGTTAAGACCAATATTTGTAGTTAGGATTAATTATTAAACTGCTAATTATATAGTTATGTATTATTATTTGTATAGAACAAATAAATTAAAATTACATATAAAAATAAAAACTTTAGTTTATTTGTAATCTAAATTTACTAGAGTAGTCAAAGTTTATTTAGATTTAAATATTTAGTATATAATTTGATAACATGTTATATTTGATTCATAAAATAGATCAAATATTGATTTTATAAATTGTTTAGCTAATAAAAAGATATGTATTTAAATAAGAATATAATTGATTAGAAAATTTACAAAGATATAATTAAGTGTAATTTTTTCAGAAATTTATATGTTTTATAATTAGATTGGATAATCTTAAATTTTAGTTAATTAGTTAAGATTGAGGTTTATTTTATTAATTTTTAATTAGAAAAATGAATACAATATGTTTTTTATAATCATTTATATAATTGTTCATTAATATTAAGAAAAATATTAATTATAACTTGAAAAACAGTTTTGTATATTAGAGTTTTAAATTTTTGATATAAGAGATTTTGAAATAAGTTCTTTAAAAGTAATGTTGAAATAAATTATGTTAGATAATGTATATAGAGAATTGAGAATTAGATAATAAAAAAAATTGTTAATTGGATTATGTTTTTAATAAATATCAAGATTAGATAAGTTATTAAAAATAATTTGATTAATAGAGGTTTGAATAATTTAATTGAATCAAGATGAATTAGCATAAGTGTATTAGTAAAAATAAGAATTAGATAAATTACAATAAAAACAAATAGTGTTTGGATATTGGTTTAGGTAAATAATATAATATAATAAGTATATTAATTAAAAAAGAATTTTGTTTTAAAAAATTTTAGTTAGTTAAGTTTAAAATTAGTAATATTATATAAAGATTTTTAATTATAATTAAAGTAGAGCCAAGTAGGTCTTCAATCAATATTTTGGTTAAAGTATAATTACTTACTATTTTTTTTTTGTAATGTCTATATAGCTAAGATATAAGCTTTATAAATTTATTTGATAAGGTGTTTTGTAAGAAGTTTTATATAATGCTGTTTCTATTAAAAATGTAATAAAAGTTGTAAAGAGAGGTATAGTAATCTAGTAAAATGATTAGGTTGTTAACTCTTCAAATGATAGATTGGATATTTAAATTTTATTAATAGTAAAAATTTGAATAATCATCTATATAATATTTATATTACAGCAACTGTTACTAATGATTAGATTAGAATACTTGTAATGGCAGTTATACTAGTATGACTAGCAGGTTATAAAATATTTGTATAAATATGACCTTACACAAAGGAATGCAAACTAACAATTGAGCAGTGCAAATACTAAATAAGTTCTTGTAGTTGTTTTTTTTTTTTTTTAAATATTAGCAGTAAGGCCATACCTTTAACTTTATTGAAATTCAATTGAAGTTTTTATAAAGAAAAGCTTACTTTTAAATTACATATGAAGAATAAAGAAACAGACATATAATCTGTGACCTAAACCTACAAAAGTGGTCAAGGCTCATCTAGATTTGAGTATTAGTAATAATATATAAGAGAGGGATATGATATTTAATCTATTGAATAATCCAAAGATCAATTTTAGTAATAATTTGTGATATTAAGATAGGAGGTAATGATAGATTAAAAGAAGAATTATGAGTTGAGTTTGTAGAAGGTATAATTAAGGACTGTGCTGATTGTGAAATACAATATGGGATCCATATTTGTTTATATATTTGTTGGTTTAAATGAAGAAGAAATTTAATAGAAAGTGAGGTAGCAGTACAGTAAGAAATAGAAATATTGTGAATAATAAAAATAAAGTCAATAAGGACTAAGTCAGATAAAGTAGAAATAAAAGATAGTATATGAGAAAAGTTATGCAGTTTAAAACTGTTAAGTGTAAGAATTTCTTGATATAAATTAGAAACCAGATTAGAGAACATGTCAAGAGCAGTAGCATTTAAGATGCAATTAAAAGAATTAGAGATTAAGTAATAAATTTTTGACTAGAAGAACAAAGAGTCCAGTGTAATGAAAAGCTAGTTTGATTACATTGATGACAGAAAGAAGAATAAGAGGAGTTATGTTTGTGAAGAGTGTGAGGAACAGGTAGTTCATTCAAAAGAATTTTAACATAAAAGATTTTTAGAATAAATAAATAAAACTATGAGCAAAGTTAGAAACCTTTTGATTGTTATTAATGTAAAACCAAGTGGCTTTCTAGTTAATGTTAGAAGCAATAGTGGACTATTGTTGAAAATGATGTTGGAATGTTCAAAGTGTTATGATATAGGCTTGACAGATAGTACAGATAAAGTATTGAATAAGAATTTCAATAGGAAATTAGTCATAAAATGGGGTATAAGCAGAGCTGTAAGGGTTGTTAGTTAAGAATGTTAAGAAAGATAGTATTTGATGACTATGAGCAAGTTGATCAACAAGGTTGTTAAATGGGTCATCTTGGTGTGCAATAACTTTGTGAAAGATAAGCTGAATGTTGTATAAGTTAATGAAATTAATAAGAGTTTGCCAAATAGAAAAGTATGGGATATAAGTATAAGAAAGTTTGGATGCTGATGAGCAGAACTGTAGTATTTGGAAATTACAGATTGTGAGTCAGTAAAGATATGAACAGAACAGTTTCTAAGAGCAGTTATAATTGCTGAAAGAATAGCAAGAATTTTAGCTTTGAAGAAGCATAGCCAAAGTTTAATTTGTGCTTGGAATGAATGAATAGTTGCAGAATTATCAACTTGAACCCAACCTATGCCCATAGAGCATTGAGAGGTACCAAGCTCAATAACAGAACCATCAGTATAAAATGAAATGATAGTTAGATTGTTATTGGAATTAGCAATAGACTGTAAGCTATTAGTAAGTTGGTTAAACTAAAAGATGCAAGATAATTGTTGTAAATTGATTATTATTGAAGGAGGAAATAGAATATTTAGAAAATGTCAAATAGCTACAGAGTATGTAATATCAAGAAAGTTAGCATGTAGATTAAGAGTTTTGTCAGAATTGATATGACAGAGTAGTTTTGTGGCCAGGTTTGTAAGAATAAAGATAGTGTATTTGTTGGTAATTGTATTAGAATTGAGTTGATATTCTGAACATATGATGGTAGTAAAAAGAGGAGTAGAATATAGATTTGAAAACTGGAACTGGTATGAGCAGTGCCAGTGAGTAATAAGAATAAGGCCTGTAGGAGTATTATGCCTTCTGGTCTTGCCAATAATTATTTGATCATTAAGAACAGTAAATAGCCAAGGTTTGGTATTAGAGATAAAGAAGCCAGTAATATAAGAGAAATAATTTGTTTAAGGTAAATTAAAGTGATCATAGAGAGTATATTAGTAAGAATAGCTTGTAGTAATGTCATCAAGAGTAGTAAACCATTAAGGTATAATGCCTTTAGGAAGTTTATTAAGTTTAGGAGAAATATAATGCCAATGTAATAAGCATAAATTATCATATATTGTAAGTTGATTAAAAAAAAGTAGTTTGTAATATCTAAGTTGTT